GTCTTCATGGAGAAAAGCTGTCCCAAAGTTCACCGAAGGCTGCGAAATAAGAGAAAAATAGGACTCAAATATCACATAAATTGACCCGAAAATCCACCACTGGCATAAGTTACAACTTCAAATTCCATGGTATCCTTCAGTTCTCGAATCTGTTTCTCTGCCTCCTCTGTCACTTTTTGGTGTCCTTTTCCTCACTGATATGCTTCCTCTTAGCGAAATAGAGGAAATTCAGTACTGTATCCGCATCCACCAGGTTCTGGGGCGTAGCTCGCACAACTGTGTGTGCAGTGACTAAGTACCAGCAACGAGTTACGTCATAGTCTAGTCAATAGCAGACTCAGCGGAGGACGTTCCGGTTGGTTGGAACTCTGAGTTTCATGCCGCTAGGCAATCATCAGACAACTCATAGTCAATGTATGTTGCCCATTTTGACTCGTGGTACCTATGATGGCCACTCTCTGGTGTGGTCACCGGAATATGCTGACTATACAAGCTACACGCCTAACGCTGGCAGTGGTATACCGGTGGTGGCCGATTACCATGATTATGCACAGCCTATGAGAGCAAGAAAACGCTGAACCATCATGGTCTGCCCCATCATCGATGCCCCGTGCTTGAATTTCATCAGAGCAAGCCAGCAGCTGCGTAGACGGTGTTCACTCTACAGGAGGTGGTATTGGACCAGTACTGCCATAGAATACCATTCAGGGCATCGTTCTGATTCTGGGTGGCACCGAGGCAACAGCGCTCCAACAATTGTCGGTCTGTTGGTTGGTTGTATTTATTTTGATTCGCAAATTCAAACGGGCATAGAACCCAATAACATGAAGGCGAATATGAAAATTATAATGAGAATGAGTATCATAGTAAAATACTTAGATCTTCAGCGTAGAGTCAGCGGTGCATCACTAGAGGGAGATCGCCGGGGTACAACAGAAAGAGAACCGCAAAATAGAAAATTTCGCTTGTCTTCAGCATCTACAGCTACAGGGCACAGGTATGGGGGATTACCTGCGTGCGAAACTGGCAAACTGCCGAGCGTGATGGATGGCACGGATGTCGCTGGCCGGGGAGGGCATTCCATAATACAGAATGACTGCCACCAAACGATGGTGGACTGGCTTTATCATAGTTTATGGCTTGAAACACAGCTGGTAGGATGGTGTCAAAGTGTACATAACAGTATGCAGGTCTGTTCACATCATAATGCCGGCCTGCGTGACTGCTCTTTCCTAAAATCCCAGACACCTCCCGGCCATATGCTGCACTCCATGCACACAACAGGAACAAATCTACTCCGTTTCCATGGTTTCTTCTCCACAATTCTCAAATACGGCTCGTGGCAAGCACTAGACAGAGCAGCCGATCCCAGTAGAGTATTCAAAGCAGACAAATCGACAATACGCCGATCACTACTGTAGTCCATTCCTGTTCCTGGTCGGTGTCTTGTGTTTGTACAATGCTCATGGTATAAACACAAAATAGGAGATCCCCCTCCCTCACGAAAGGCTAACATTGTTAGCCGTTGGGTAGTCTTGAAATAAACTTACTTGCAAGTTGCAAGGATTATCATTGTACTCAATGTACTGCTCCCTGGTTGACACGCAGAGAATAGTCCCAAGAACGGCCGAGAAGAAGTTCGTAGGCACTAGGTGGTGATCGGGATGAGGAGAGTGATGACGATGAAGAACTTCTTCGTCATTCTCCATCCCTGTTCCCGGGGAACAGGGATGGAGAATGGAGGAGAGTGATGGAGGATGAGGATGATGAAAGTGATTGTGATGGCGGAGATGAGCAAGACGAAAGTAGCAATGTCGATGGTGATCAGGATGGGCGTGGCTACAGAGGCCAGAAGAAGGGAAAAAGACCTGCAGTGTTTTTGCATATGCTCGCTACAGCTGATTATCGTATGTCATAATGGTGATGGTTGTTTTTAGCTGTTTGGCTCGTAATTTTCCAGTTGAAAGTGATCATGAGCCGATGAGGGCCATTGGCATTGTAGTCCATCGGCCAAATCTCAGAAAGGGCCTCTTTCGGCGAAGGTGATGCACTGAAGCTCCAACTAAACGCCCTTTGGCACACTAGCTCATGAGACCCCATAGAATACGAATCCGATTGTTGGACGTTGCCAATCCAGTCCAGGATAGTCGAACTGGGTCGAATACCTTCTTCCGATTTTCGTAATTTCGTCCACCATTACATCTTTCTCATCGACTTTTTTTCGCTTGGCGAATGTTCTTGAGCCGCTGAGCAGAATCTACGCACGCTCGAACACTTGAAATGCCTGCATGTTGACGGTTCGCAAGATTCTAGCGAGCTTGGTGGAAATCTATTATTTATTTTGACATTTTTTGGGGAATCTGAATTAGAACGGTAGAAGCTCATTCGGAGAAGATGGCGTGTCGCCGCTGTCGGATTGTCGCTACTGTGTTTCAGACGTATTTGCTTGAACGTGCTATTGAGGATGGACAGAAGATGAAGTGACGGCTTTCTTGAACACGGACGTTGTGTCTACATTGTAGCTGAAACATCTCATCTGGCGTCTAGAACGCAATTATTATGAGTTGTGAGTGCCAGCTGAGCTGAAAACAAGCTGGACACCATTCGTCAGCTGGGAATTTGCATCGAAGCTCTTGATAGCCACGATAAGCATAATTATACAGAGGTAACCTTGTTTGACTCAATACGCATGCAGGTGATACCACTAGTGGCACTACAATGTAAATGGTGCAAAATTGATGCAACAGCGAATATGTACTTCGTACAATCACGAACAATTGTAAGGCAAGTGTTCATGCCTGTCATAGAAGAATTTCAGCCCGGAAGTCTTGTTGTCATGGTCATAAATAATACAGGACTTGAGTTGGCTCTGGACATAAACACACTTGTGGTGAATACGGTCATTATTGCGAGAAAAATATTAGCCACTGTATGTTAACTGATGCCGCACTACACACAATATTTCATGTACATGTATGTGAGACTCAATTGCATCCACAAGGCCGTAGATGCATGTAAGCACACAATGCTGTACAGTATAAGTAGTAGTCGACATGTGGTGCCTTCCTGCTGCACATGCAAATGCGGCAAGTAGGCAACGACACATTGGAGGCTGTGTACTCTCGACGAGTCTCGTACAGTCGTCAACTCGCCTACAAGACAGACTCAGTACTGGCAACTGAAATCCGCCCCCCCCCCCCCCCGGCGGCACGGGGCCTGGTTTTCACCACTTCGTGCGCCATGGTTACAGTAGCGAGGTCAGGCGAAAATTAAATTTTGGAAAACCCTATCGAATTGGGTATCTACGGAAAGCTTAGAGCTTCAGGCGTTCAAATCTAAAATTTGGGCTGGGTTAGAGCAACTGGAAGAGAGTTATGGGTGTTGAAAGGAGCCCGACTACGTGATTTTTTTGTCGCGACGAATGTACGCGTGGGAGCTCGAAAAATGGCACCCGGCACTCGGGTCCCAAGTCGCGACGGAGAGTGCATGATGTAATCTCGCGTGTCACGTGCGTGTACTTCGCTATGCTAGCGGCTAGCGGCACCGCTGCGTGCAGCACTCGAGCCGAAAACTTTCTGAAGAGAAAATGTTTGTTCCTCTGCAGAGAAGGGAAATGTGCAATTGTCTTCAAGGATCGCCAGTGCATGTACTATTTGCTGTGAACCGGTGATGGTAAGATATTTGGGATCCAATGACGACGAGTTGGTGGCAACGGGAGCGGTGGCTGCTGTTGATGGAGGATGTCGGAAGAAGCGCTTTCTCAAGACAAGTTTCTGCAGACGATCAGGAATTTGAAAACACAATTGTGCTCGAACGTATTGTTTGTTCTGGAGTAGTACAGTAGAGAGACTTTGTTAGAGACATGGTCTGTGTGAAAGTGAACGTTCCTCACTTTCTCTCTCACACAGGTTATGTTTGGCTGACAACTATTTGTAGTGTTGCCTTGATTGAGTAACACTGACAGCATTGGAAATTTGGAAATAGTTTCCATTTCTGAAATGATGCATACAATTGGACAAAACTTTGTAAGAAAGACATAGCTTTCCGAAACAGTACCTGGGACCGGGACTGAAGTAGCCATCTCCTTACCTTCATCACCAACAAGCTTCTGAATAGATACAAAATGCTGCACACCAGACGCAAGCGAAGTTTAATCGGATTGATGGCGATTCGCTTGCTTCTGTTGCTTTTTAGATTGGTGCACATGCCTTCCCAAAGCAATCCTCCTTGCTGGACAGTGACACCAGTCGGGAGCCATAACGTCGGTGCGCCTCTTGTTACGCCAATGAAACTTGGTAGTCCGAAGGATTAGGGGGCGCTGAACACGATGCAGCAACAACCTAAGGCGTAACAAGAGGCGCAAGGACCGAAACCCGCCCTCGAATATTGGCAAAAAGCGAGAGACAGCGCGTCGACAGAGAAACGTCTGGACGCCGCGCGAACGGGTGGAGGCATTGCTCCATATCCTTACCAAAGGACTAGAAACTTGAAATCGCCCAAAAAGAGCAAGGAGACTGCACAAGCGAAGTTCAAACGCAGGTCAGTTTTGATGCCTCCCGTAAAAATCGAAAAATCGAGTAAAAACCTATGTGCCATGACCGTGCTTCTCCCTACCGCAGTCGTTTGGATGCTGCCACTCCTGTTGTGCTGGCAGTCAACGACTGTCAGTTGCGTGACTGAGACTCTTGCGGAGTAGCCGTGTCTAGCCACACTTTTTATTATCCGATGATCTTGTTTTGTTTGCTATGACTCCGTGATTTTCTGTTGGTTGCTTTTCTGCTGTGCGAATAAAAAAAAATCAATAAAAAAAAAAAAAAAAAAAAAAAAAATGTGCCATGACATCATCGATTTTCAATGGGCCGGGGATGGTCCAAGCGCGACAAGCGAAGTCCGTGAACTGGTCACGCGTCTGACCTCGCTAGTTACAGATGACGCGAAGTATGATGATTATGACGTAAGATTTGTGTACAAACCTCTGAATGAAATCACAGTTCAGTTTGAATCAGCTTTCGAAGATTGAAATTGTATTTCTATGTATGAACGTTTTGAGTTTTGCAGAGGAGATTGCCTCTTATGTATACCGCGTGCGTGGCGGGGTAGCGATGTTTGCCAACAGCACGCATCGGAAGCACTGGATTTTCAGCAATGCCGATGAACTTCTCACCCTGAGGCGGACGGCGCAGACCGCCTTCCTCGATTCTGTGAGTTGAGAAAACGTCACGTTCGTGCAACCAGGTGTGCATTGCATCTCTAAATTTTCTGTGTTGGTTTGAAGTTCCCAGCCGACCTAGTAATGGTATTCAACACAGTTTCACTGCCTCGGCAGATCAGAATTACAGATGGAGCGGACTCGCTCCCTTCTATTTACACTGCAACGTTCGAACACATTTTCGTAGTTAAAACAACGTTTCGGCATATAGCCCTCATCAGGTTTGCAATGATGTGCACTCTACAAAGGAGCAGCAAATATACTGTGCTGTGCTGTGTTTGCGCCAAATGTGTCAGCTACAAAGGTGGCGAAAGGGATTGGTGATATATTAATATCCAGATACGATATATTCACAGTAGTGCCCAGCCAGCATTAGTGCCAACATATACTAGTACATTTGTGTAACATCATGGTGATGATGAGCTACAAAAATACTTGTGAATCTACATGTACATGTACTGCACTAATGTCGTGAGCTGAGCACAACATTTTCATCAGTTTATGGCTGTATGATCCGCGTGTAGTTTAATATCCCTGCGCAAAAAAAAAGCTGTTCATGAATAAACCAACCAGCATGGCATATCATGCATGTTGGTTTCATCATTCCCAGGGCCAGAGCCGTAATGTATCATAGGCTGCATCCCGTCTTGGAGGGGAAATGTCACTTTCCAGTTTCTTTTCTATGAACATGATTGGTTCGGGTATAAGCAGCAGGGGAGATATTGTTGGCCCGACTTTTCGTGTAAAACGAATACAGCTCTGACCCCAGAAAGTACAATACAATCAAGAGTACATAACCCCCCCCCCAGAGTGTGCAACGCCTGGTCCAGCTCTGCATAGGGTCTTGGTCGAGCGGAATCGGATCTTTGCGTCATAATACCGTACACATCTGAGGAGAACCCGGGGAGTCGCGGATACTCTCGGATCAAAAACAATGGTGCCCTGCCTCGAGACCGGCCATGCGCTGGTGTGGAGTGTACGCATGACATCAGAAGATCCGATTCCGCTCGACCAAGACCCTATGCAGAGCTGGGTCGGCGTTGCACATTCTGGGGGGTTATGTACTCTTGATACAATGTATCATTGCTCGGAAAATTAAAGAAAAGAGTGTAAATTTTTGAGAACTGCAATCAATGAAACCACCTGAATTGACATACCATGAAGTCTTATATAAAATCCGCACTTGCATGCAAGCTGCCTCGAATAGAAGCCACACTTTTGGAAAACATCAAATCGTACATAAGCCGCCCTTGTAGCTGCGGCTTCAAAATGCGACACTACGCCCACCCCTACCGTCCAAGATCAGTAGATAGTACGGGCTAGACTACAGCCACTGCCACATGTATAAGCCACATATGCATGAGAACTCGTGATTGAGGTCAGATATCAGGGAGGTTTCGCTCTACGTAATTACGTATGAAAATCCGTGTCGTACGCGCCGGGGAGCGAGGGCAACTTTCATACGTAAATCTCTCTACGGATTTCCGTAGGAAAGCTGTTTCCTGCATTGGGTCCTCCGTAGGACTTTTTGAAATGTGTTCGCACTTTCCGGATTTATCCATTGAAACGTTCAAGCCGCGCGAAGCGCAAGGTACACACCACTTGGAAAACAAAATGGAAAACGCGGTTTCGGTTTGTGGGGCATGCGGTGGGTGCATGCAGCCAACTCGTCTCCAAATCAACAAGGCATGCTTAATTCCGTAGAGCGAAACCTCCCTATCAACACATCGATTCACCAAGCACATGCTGCCTCAGTGCCGCAAAGTGCGTATAATATGCATGCAGACTGATATCGCGCACTGATGGTAATAATAATCATTTGTCTGAGGTATTGAAATTGATGCAATGATGCACTAATAGCAGTGTTTTTATGCTCTTGCATGGCTTCCATTTTAGTTTTTGTTGTTGGTATGGTTGGTATTTTTTGTGTCTTTCCAGGTGTCTATTGATGAGGAGGAGAAAGGTGAGATCCTATGCCTGACTACTACTACTAGTACACACAAGCAGGTCCCCTCCTATAACAGTGGTCGGTACCCACACCGGGAGTGCATAGCCAGCTCTTCGATGTGGGTGGCACGCGAGCAAAGTGCACTGAGTTATGTTGTTGTGCCTCTGAGAGTTCGAACCGCAATGCATGTACTGGGAGAAAAACTGGAGGCTGATCGTCTCGGATTCCAGATCATTACATAAACGAAGGCAGAAGAGAGCTGTGACAACCGGTTAAGTCACTATTGTAACGCTGTGTTTCATGCACCGGGCAAGGCTAAGGCAAGCCTCAGACAACTGATAATCTCTGCACAGCACTCTAGCAATAACACGGAGAAGAAGGACACACTTCAGGCTCTTGAACAACTTCTCGAAAGTTTTCACCAGTACTTTCAAGCCTTATCGCCAGGTGAAATACAGGCAAAATCAACTGGTAAAAACTTTCGAGATGTTCAAAAGCCTGAAGTGTGTCCTTCTTCTCCGTGCTACTGCATTCTTGTCTGCGAGGAAACTGTTTTAGCAATCTGGGAATTGTCGCTATTGTAACATGTATACTGTGTGGATAGTCTTGGTAGTGCCTGTACTACAGTGCTGGCAACTGAAATCCGACCCCTGAGCGATGCGCTCACATCGCAAAGACCCAGCACATGGTAGTAAAACTACGAAAGTAGAGATCGCCAGAATGTGAACGCATTGCTCACGGGTCGGATTTCAGTTGCCAGCACTGTACTTCGATCCATACTGACTGGGCGAGTTGACGCGTTCACGCAATGCCTGTCCTCGTTGCTATTTTTCCTTCCGTGGTGTTTGCAGGCAAGGCAGCCCCGCTGACGCTGAAGGAAGAGCAGCGCCTCACGCAGTACTACGTGATCAAGCTGCGAGATGTGGCCGCCGCCTTCCAGCCACCGGCACCCTGGTCTGTCGTGGTAGGTTCTGCCGATGGGTATACAGTGACACCTCATCAAGAAGAACGCTGATAAGACCATCTTATGCTTTAGAAGACCTAGTATTCGTAATCCTATTGGATCACTGTGTATTCCCTGAGTTTAAAATATGGATAAGAAGAACTCCCGTTGTAGCGAACAAAAAAATACCATCCGGGTTCATTGGTGTTGATACTCAAGATGTTTGACTGTGTACTTTCAAGTCAACACCCCTCTCCTGGTCGCATGGTATGCGCTCGCATGCTCTTCTTTTTGTCTGCGCTGGTTCATTCTGTGATGAATTGCCGATAAGTATTATTTTGTGTACGGTGATTTTTCTTGATTTCATTCGATGTCTTCTTCTCTGGTTGTGCTGTACCTTGCACAGGGTACTGCTACTGTCTACTTGAAACGTTTCTTCTTGCGCTCCACGGCCATGGAGCATCCCGTCAAGATGATCATGTGAGTGCCGGGGATGTGGTGTGGTGCTGCTGCTTTTAGCTGCACTGGTGCTGATTGTGTGCTGCTGGTGCTGTTGGTAGCGGAAATGGTTGTGATGATGCTGCTGTCAGTGGGTGAGTAGATTGTGATAGCGTCATTATTGTCGTCCATTCACTACTCACTACCCGGTGGATGAATATTTGTATTTGATTGTGCTGACTTCCGTTAATCGTTTTCTTTGTAATTTTCCATTCATTTTTTGCTTTCATTAATTTTTGCTTTGTTTTCCTAGCTTACTATTGCCGTGGCTGGCTCAACGCCCTTGTCTCATGGGATTCTGTCCCTGCATTAGCTATGCTTGTCACATGCTATGAGATTGTGTCTAATAATAATAATAATTGTTCCAAAACTACCAGTCCGACGTATGACCCATACCAGATGCAGTGGTTGAGTGAAGTTGGAAGCAACATGGCTGTCCTGTATGATCATGTGCTAGATGTGCTCTTTACTCCTTTTCGCTGTCCCTCTCTTCTTCTTTTTTCTGTTATGGTGTGTTCTGTGCAGGTACACTTGCTTGTATCTTGCGTGCAAAATTGAAGAGTTCAACCTGTCCGTCGATCAGTTCCTGATGGCCGTCCCGGCTGAAGAGCAGCACACCGTGCGCCAGTTTGTGCTGCAGAACGAGCTGATGCTGGTGCAGAGTCTCCACTTCCATCTGACCGTGCACAACCCGTACCGGCCGCTGGAGGGCTTCCTCGTCGATATGAAGGTGAGATCGGATTCCGCGTTGTTTACCGTATTTTCCGGAGTACAAGGCATACACTTCGAAACGTCAGTGCGGCTTTTACTATGCTGGTCAAATCAAATGAATGGTGATACACAGTTCTAGCCAGGTCAAAATAGTAGAGGGGGGGGGGGGGGGCATGGGAAACAGTTACCCCGTACAGTCAACTTCGCTAATAACGACAATTCGCGAATAACGACAGAATTTCCATGCCCAGAGCAAAGTCCCATCCAACTGTAATACATATAATGAGACTTCGGGTATAACGACACTTCGCGAATAAGGACAATTTTCTGATGCCCCGCCGAGTGTCGTTATAAGCGAAGTTGACTGTATCCCATTTTCCACTTTCCATTGCCGCGCGAAATGCAACGTATGGGGCGAATCCCCGACTTCGCCCCAGACAAATGTGCCTTTTGAAGTGACTTTCGACTGCATTTTCGTTGAATTGCATGAAAAACACGAAAATCGGAAAATGAGTAGGGGTGGGGGGGGGGGGGGATGACGCTGTGCCCCCCCCCCCCCCCCCCCCCCCCCGCTTTGGCTAAAACCCTGGTGATATACAGGGTAGATGTATGTATTTTGTGACAAAAAATCTGGGTGCAGCTTATACTCCGGAAAATATGGTACTTGGCTCACCATTGCATCTGTGTTCACTCTTTAATAAATGCAGTGAAACAGTTCAACTTTTCTAATGGTCCGCAAACTCCAACGCAGCCACTTGCACATTTAGAAAACTTCACTCCCCAACTCCAAAACGGTCTCTTCATTGCCATTCAAAATGAAATTAAGATTAACATTACACCAGATTTTCGGGCCAGAGAATGAAAGAGTTCAGTAGAAAAAAATTACGGTTCGTGTCAGACTCAGCTAGAGGCCGAGTTTTCTGCATCCGTAGGAACGCCACCACCATTCAAGGACCAGTAGAACGTACCCTGGATGTAGCAGACTTGTCTTTCTTGTTCCTTAGTGGGTGCGTTCGATTACGCCCATGAATCGATTCATGAATGGAATCTCGTGCATTCAAGTCGTTCGATTTTTCACGTCATGAGCCCTGGAATCGGTTCGTAATGGATTCATCCTATTCACACGGGGTGATGAGAGTTGCCAGGGGTCATTCATGAGTGGATTCGAAATCGATTCATGGGCAAAATCGAACGCACTCAGTGTCCTGGCGTGATGCATACGCTGTAGACACCTTGCTCATCCACTTGCACCGCACTGGTCAGGCTAAGCTCTCTGTCTGTCCTGGCAAGAGCACCACGCGCTCCACACCGCTACTGTTCTTATTCTTGACATGCGTGTCTCCCGATTTCTTCGCCGCAGACCCGGTGTCCAGTGTCCAAGGGGAGCAAGATCCGGAAGATCGCCGACCAGTTCCTCGTTCACGTTCTCAGTTCGGATGCTCCGCTGTTGTATATCCCATCTCAGGTTAGTTTGGAGTTGGTGTACACTGCTGTGTGGACTCATTTACCACAATACATTGTCTTCTCGTCTTGAGGATTGTGCTAGTGCAGTCCTCAGTGGCTGAACTCTCTTTAGTACTTTTTGAACTGTGACTGTGTGGGTTGTGTTGTAACACAATTTACCCCTCCACACTTCTGTTGCTGAAAAAAAAGGATAAATCCGTGTGGAAACGATTTGCATGTTCATGTAGTCCATGAATGTCAACTTTCCAGCTTTATCCGTTTTAGTTTCTACGATGAATAAGGTGCTAGCGGACAAACATGTTGAGCCGCTGGCGGTCATTTTCTCTTGATGTGTGTTTCTGCGCTGTTTTCTTGCCTCTTTAGATTGCGTTATGCGCTATTGTGTTGGGTGCTCGTACAATGAAAGTCTCGCTTGATAAGTATGCTGGCTCTTTATTTTGTTTGTTTGTTTATGTGTATGAGTGTTTGTTTGTTTGTATGTATGTCTGTGCCTTGCTCCTATCTATCAGAGGCTGTTTGATTGCATCATGGAAATGGTTTGCATTGTTAACGTGTTAACTGGTTTGAGGGAAAGACAGAAGCGGGAAAAGTCTGAAGAAAAAACTGACTGCCACCACCAGGATTCGAACCGTTGTTAACGTGGGTATCGTTCATCGCCTGCCGTACGCCCTGGTCACGCGGTGCACGCCTGTGTCGTGTCGGTGTTGCTTGCCGTGTGCTCGTATTTGTGTTCGAAGGTGTTCTTGTTTGTCGGCGCTCGTCTCGAAATAGTCACTAGAGAGGCGTGGCCACTTAAGCTTCAAAGTCAAAAATCCGACTCAAAATCTCACGTTTGAATGCGATCGAATTGCAGCTCGCATTCGAATCCACGTCATGCCAAACTTAGCGTTGCACAAAAAACCTCTTTACTGCCTGCCTCCTGTGAAGTGTATGCGATGATGATGCTTGGCCTGGCCAGCTAGTGTTCATCCACTTTATTTGTGTACATGTACTTCGAAGTAGCTATGTGCAGACTACTGTGTACGGCGAAATCTTCTCTGCTGCAAATACTTCTGATCTCATTGCAGAAGAGTACTTTTCGGAGTGATTTGGTAATCCTTTGGGCCAACTGGCGGGACAAGCAGTTCGTTCTCAAGTTTTTGTCCTGCCATTCGGTCACATGTTGTGTGCGGGAGAGGTCTATTGTGTGTATGCTTTCCGTGTGTCTATCCCCTTGTAGATATTTGAACGAGACACTCGGTGCTGGGCAGGACGACACGAAGATTGCGGCCATGAAGGCATCGCTGCAGCGTAAGGGCGCTACGAGGCTGTTGCTTCAGCTGCTGGCACTCTACACACTTCTACAGTCCCTTCCGACTAACATAGGCCTCGAGGATTTGAAAGCCCAACTACATAAATACGAATACAAATACAAACTTGGGGCCAAATTTAGACTCGGTCACAGAGGTTGTGCGGAGGACATCGTCGCATATGATTTGAGTGGAGTAGGGTTATCAACTTATCATGTGAAATTATAACATCGCATATTATTTGTATGGAGTAGGGCTATGTGAATGACATTTTTGCATATGCTAAGCACCTTCCATTGCTGATCTATTGTGTTCTCAAGTTGATCGATTGTTTGTGTTTTTCTTCTGCAAACGCTTCTCTGTCCTTTGTTTTCGTTGCCATTTTTGTGTGCGTATCTGTCCTTTCATACACAGGCATCGAATCGACGGTGGCAACAGCCGAACCAAACGGCATAAGCAAGGTGAGTCGAGCCCCGTCCGTCTGCTTACGTTATCTGAGTGCGCATATCGCAAACGAAATCGACGGAGTACTGATGTGCCGTTTGCTGTACCGCTCCAGCCTCGAAGACTATTTAGCCGTTTACACACTGGGAACAGAAAGAACCAAGTAACTTATGGGTACTCTGAGTTTTGACATGATTCTAACTGACTCCCGCTCTGGCCTTCTCTGGGCCTTACGCGCGAGTGTGCGCTGAGTCAGTTTTCCTCCTGCCCGTGCTGTTCGTGTTTGTGTGGGTGTACATGCTATGTTGCTAAACCCTTGTGCAAGAAGTGCTTAATACCACGACGACAGAGCCAAAAGACACAACATACTTCAGCCTAGTCCCATTGCTATCTTACGTGTGGGTGTGTGCGTGTGGGTGTGTGCGTGCGTGTGTGCGTGCGTGTATGCATGCGTGTATGTGTGGGTGTATGCGTGCGTGTATGCGTGCGTACGCCCGGCGCTAGAAGAATCTTGACAGGTCCAGCATTTGCACAGCGCTGTGTTTATGTTCGGTGTTACTTTAAGTGTGCCTTGCTATGTGCAGTGCTGCTCAATGAAATCCAGTCGTGTCACTCAAGTTTGCGCCCTTGCACAGTTTCGCAGCCCAGTGTTCGCAGGTCTAGGGCTGCGCAACGCCCGGCGTGTACTTGAGTGACTGGATTTCATCGAGCAGTACTGTATCTGCTGTGTTGACTGTGCTGTGTTGGTAGGAGGCGGCAGCTGAGCTGGAGACCCGGTGCCAGTTCTACCAGGACAAGTTTGTCTCGGTTCACGGTGGCCGGTGAGTTCTGCGCGGTGCCAGGAATGCACGGACAGCCAGAAATGTGTGTGTGGGGGGGGGGGGGAGTATGTGTGTGGGTGCATGTGTGTGTGTGTGTGTACATGAGCGAGCGTGCCTGCGGGCGGCATGGGATATATGACACCAATCAGGATGCCACAAGGCGGAGGAGCGAAATGCGCGCCCTGCGAAGCAATTTAATCTTTCCACCAAAGTCGATACTGTAAAGCGATGAACTTCCGCGGTGTGCTAATTTTGCGTTTTCATGAATTGGGCTGGTTCATGATGAGAAACCTTCGTGATTGTATCTCTTCGGTTGGACCTTATACTATCTACAATCAATGTACGGAGCAGTTTGCGACGATTTATTCGTGAATGTGGGGTGGTTGCGAAAATAGCGAAATTTAATCTCTAGCGAAAGTTTCTCACTTAACAGTACAATGACCAACAGTTCACGTGGTGGAAAAGAAGATTGACTGGCAACATGTATGTTACATTTGAATAAGCCAACAGGCCAAGCGTGGAGCTATCACAAAGTATCAAGAACAGATGAGCAATGTACAACGGAGTGCCCTAGATCAGCGGACTCTTCCCCGTGCCCTTCATATTCTTTTTATCAGATAAAATGCATATTGTAGTACTGAGTATGCTGGCCCGTGAGCGGAATAAAAGTCAGCTGAATCGCTGGAGCGTTGGGAGTTCTTCTCGTTGAACCAGACTACTGTGACTAGCTAGACTAAGAGTTCAGGAGTATCTGTTACTACAGTACCGGTATTACACATGCAACTGAGAACTCAAAATGTAACTAAACTGATTGCAGAATGCCGCAATGTGAGCTTTGAATTCTCAGTTGCATGTGTAAAGTATCACTGTGCCAAATACAGGTACTGTAGTAACAGATACTCCTCAACTCTTAGTCTAGCTACTCACAGTGGTCTAGTTCAACGAGAAGAACTCCCAACGCTCCAGCGATTCAGCTGACGTTTATTCCGCTCCCGGGCCAGCATACTACAATATGCATTTTATCTCCTCAACTGTAGTGAAAACTTATACAAACTGTCATATTATTCAGCACAGAAAGCTCCGTCTGACCTTGCTAGACATTTCCTTCGTGTGACAGCTGACTGGTGTCTTCCTCCTCCCTTTACTCTGCTTACTGATAGGCCATATCTGTTGTACAGTGTGATAATCACTTTGCTACATTGGTTCTCGGAGAACTTCTCTTGGTCACACTCCTTGTTTGGGAAAAAATCAGGTCTGGCCCGGGATCCGGGACAAATGCATTATCCCATTCTTTGGCCACGGCCGTACATGTCCTCGAATCTTCATTCACGTCTCGTTTTCGTCATTTAGATCAAAAACTCACTGAGGCTGTGTTTACATGAGGCGTTTCAACCCGCCATGAACACAGATTGACTGGCACGTTTACATGACGCATTGCGCTTGACCTGGGTTGAAAATTCGCCCTGGGGGGGGGGGGGGGGAGGGTTGAAATCAACCCGGGGCGAGAAATCGTACTTCCGTGCGTATCTCGTGCCAGGTTTGAATAGCGCTGCACCTGAAAATTTCGCGCGAAAGGTTTCACGTGACCATACAGGATTCTAGAAGTGGACTTCTGGCGGCATATCAGTATTTGACCCGGGTCAACTGTCTTCATGTAAACGCTCGCCTATTTTTGTTTATACCCTGGTACGGTACGGAGGGCCTGTTTTCAGCCAATCAGCGCTCGTCTAGCCATGGTTATATTGGCCAGTATAAATCCCGCGCGGGATTTATATTGAATATAAATCACGGTGCACGGTACGTACGCTGGGGCACTGCCACGGTACAAGTTCAGGCAGTGAACTTGTACGACGGCAGTACTCCAGCGCACGGACCATTCACAACAGACACCACATGCACGTGTACACTCCACACAGAACGGCATTAGTGACGAGGAACATCACACAATGGAAAAGAAGAATGACCTGGAATTCATCTACCAAGTATTCTATTATACTGAAACTGAGGATAAAGAACGTCAAATAACCACGAAGTATCCCGAATGGATCAGCAATGTACATTGTACTTCGAATAGTTGAAGATCATCAACAGACTGTCTCCTTCGTAACTAAGTTTATGATACAGAGTGTACTTCAAATCCACCTAAACCGATTGGAAAACGCTAGAATGGATTGAAATGTGATACAGTGATACAAAACAGTGTATGCAAATGCATCTACTTGCAAGTAAGAAAACTGATCATAAGATGCCGCATGTGAAATCAGCACTGCACCATAATCATGATAATAGTAACACTTACTCCCAAAGAGTCCAGACTGTACTGCAGTCTAACTAGTGACGGTAGTTTGATTCAACGACAACTCCAGCACCCCAGCAATTCAGTTGACTTCCACATCGCTCACGAGACAATATGCTACAATATGCACTGGAACTGAAAGGAAATCGTATGCCAAACCTCCAGGGAGGAATCTCCTTCTGATCTTGCTCGACCATTCTTTCATTTTACAACTGATAACCAGCAGAACATGTTCATGTACTGTATGATGTAGGAGATCTCCAAATAGGTTCGTTGTTCTGGAAATGCGTAGGGGTACCTGGCGTAAGTAGGATATGACCCTCGTAGTCGGGTTAACCCGTACCCTCATATGAATCCCTCCTGCTATCGCAGTCGGGATTTATATTCAGCCGTTATAACCCTCTGACTCGGGTTATATCCTCTACCTATCGTACAGACTTTCAACCCGGGCTGAACTCGACCCGGATTGAAAATTCTCATGTAAACGCAGCCTAATTTGCTCTCGCCTTCCTCTTATGGATGAGGTGTACATCGTCTTGCCCCATGATATTGTGCAGTCTGACTGCTGAGCTCCGTTTTGGTCACATGATCCTCTTTTGGATGAGGTGTACATGGCCTGATCCGTGATGGATGGGGTGTACACAGTGCAGCATATCTATGACAGGGTTCAATCATAAATAGAGCTCTTCATACACATTGAACACAGTAAAGCAAATATGGCCCTGCTGTATTTGGGCAATGCGGGCGGCTGCAACATTTGCATTCTCGTTGGGTGCCATTGTTGCAGGTATAGGCCATGTTTGGGCAATGCTTCCCAAAGAGTACATAACCCCAAGAGTGTACAAATCTGATCTCCGAGCCATGGGCGCCTGCCTTCATTCGGTAGTGAAAACAATTATGCTCGGGCTGATGGGATTTGAGTTCTCCTATGGTTAAAAAAAGCACAGTGATTTCTCTCAGAAATACGCTAGGTTCAAAGGCAGTGCCTGTGCACGACACATGGCACTTAAAACTTTCCAATGTCTCCGAGAGAGAAAAAAGCTCACTTGGAAGCTGGAAACCGTAGCAGATCAACAGTTACACATTGAGTCCTCAATTTGGGAATCATTGTACTTCGAAGTACCGTATTTTCCGGGGTATAAGCCGCACCGGGGTATAAGCCGCACCCCCCCTTTTTGAGGCAAAATATTGACTAAAAGTTGGTATTCGGAGTATAAGCCGCACCCACAAACCAAGATTTTTCACACTCATTGACAAATGGCCTTTCTACAAATTTATTATGGTTATGGAGCTAAATACCATGTTAGATCAGATTATGAAGTGTTAGTGCACCACAGGTTGCTGCAGAGATGTTGGTGTATTGCTGTGTTGACTACAGATCACTCCATGTCATCTGCACTATCTTCAGTCTCGCTGCCACTGATGTTGATCAGCAACACAGGCGCGAAGCTGAGTCGAATGACATGTCACATGACGTCAGCATGCATACTGATGTATGCTGAGCATTCATTCGCGCAAGCATACTCGGTGTATAAGCCGCAGGGGCGATTTTGGTCCGATTTTTAGCGAAAAAAAGTGCGGCTTATACCCCGGAAAATACGGTAGTTGTTTCAAATGTTTATTCTCATCGTTTAGAGTCTTTTTTTCTCACGATGTTGTTGTTGCATCTCTTTTCTGTTATGTGTAATCCGTGCGCAGCAAACGGCGGTATAGCGGAGACAGCGACGACGAGCTACCTATGAAAATCCTTGCTGTGTGAACGCCGAGCGCTGACAGAGCACTGCGGAGCAACGCCATCGAGTTCATGAAGACAGCAACCCTCGTGGAACTACGCTTTACATCTGCCTTGCCGAAGCTATCGAGTGACACCATCTAGACTGTATGCATTGGACGCCATGAGCATCGCACCCGTTCCGGTCGCATTCAGTGTAGTCCGCCCATTGGGAACGCATGCCACTCTGAGCAGCAAACGGTTGCTATCCTGGTTTCCCGGCCTGCTCAGCTCCTGCTGGACACGCATAGCTGTGCAGTAGCCCGAAGATGGCAATTCTTACAGCCGATCTGCTTCTTGTCTCTCCTGCTCCGTTACGTGGTGCAACGTTGAACTTGTTATGCACCGTTACGCAGACTTTTACTGTTGTGAAGCAATCCTTAAATAAAAATCAATCAATCAATCAAGAGAGCAGAGAGTTATCTGGTCCGATTGTGCCGGTGACATGCCAGCACCAGTTTTAGTCACACTATCTGAATGAGAGTAATGCCTGGATTGAATAGTTTTTCTTCTTAATGTTGCTGCTACTGTGCATTAGCTGTGCTGTTGTTGATCTCAAGCCCTGCTAAGTTATAATAATCATCGTCATCGCCTGCTTTGCTTTTTTATTTTTTTAATCTTAACAGTTTTGCCTTTGCCTGCACGTCACCTGAGGAGAAGGCATGGAAGTTTATTTGTGAAACGTTTTCGAAATGTTGATGGTGAAGAACCTGAAGTTTGTGATCTTTTATCTTGTGTTCCAGCATTATTGTCTCTGAGGAAACTTTTATAACATCTTGCCAACCATTCTCGTTTTTAATTACACACGGCTAGCTGAGCCTGTTCGTTCACACCAGTCACCAAGACACGGCTTGCCAGTTTTGGTATCATAAATTAATTAAAAACTTATCTTGAAGTTGAAAAGTATGTGATATTGGAGTAAATATATAGCTCGGATAGAGAAAAATATACGTGAAACGACAGGCTGGCATTGTGCACCAAGCCCAGTCATGTGTAACCAACGTCTAGCACTTCTAACTAGAGTATAGAGGCTGTAAAAAGTATAGATATATCAAAGATGATGGCCTAAAAGGAATGGGTTAGATAGCGCAAGTTTCGCTTTGACAAAAAGACGAGCCTCCACTGGCAAGCAAACACGTGTTTGTCAGTTGATCAAGCAGTGGAGGGGATGCTAGTAACAATGGTACATCAACAGCAGCGCAGCAAATAAAAGGCTGCGAGCAGCAGCGTCAAGTCACTCCCAGCGAAGTGAACGATAAGGGAAGCATTGGCAGGAGAACCATAGGAGCGAATATAAACGTACGACAAACAAGGCTTGAGTAGTGGTGAGCAAATACGGTAATCAGTAGGTAAAGATGAGGCATAGAAACGGGGAAAGGAACTCAAGGCCAGCTTGAGGATCAAACAAGGTGCAAAGCACAGCAGGAAATACATTGTAGATAGCAGCAGTGGTGGGTTTTTTTTAATCATACAATGCAGCAAGCCTGCTTGCTAGCAGGCATGTTAGCTAGGACAGTAGTCATTGGGGTACCACAGGCAGTGACATAATTGGTTAATTGACTAGTGCAGCAGAAGGTATTGTAACGATAGCGGTGATTGTCAGCAAAGAATTTGAGAGAGAGAGAGAGAGAGAGAGAGAGAGAGAGAGAACTCACAGGACTCTCTGGCGTGTTCATCCCATAACCACGCCCTGGTTGTGAGCAGATCTTTACAAGACTTGCTGCGGCTTGCCGCCAATGCTGATGCCGTGCAGCTGCTTTTTGAGCGCCTCGGTCTCGTGCTTCAGGCTGTCGCGCTCCTGCTTGACCTCGTTGAGCTCGTGCACGGCCTGGATGAGTTGCTTCTCCAGGCTCATGTGCTGCGTGTGCAGGGTGCTGCGCATGGCCTGGCGGCGCTGGCGGCAGTTATGCGCGTAGCCGCGGTTCTTGAGAGTGCGTCGCCGCTGCTTAAGGCGGGCCACGTTCTCGCCGTCGATCTGCAGCGCCTTGATGAGGCGGTTAAGCTCGCGCACCGGCAGCTGCAGCAGGTCGTTGTCGGAGATCGCCAGTTCGCCCTTGAGTTGCTCCAGGTCGGGACTGGGAGGCTCGGACGACGCCGCGTTCGGGCTGAACGGGCCCGGAGATACGGACGGGCTGTACGGCAAGTAGGTCTCCGCGTCGTTGAACATGTTGGACTGCGTATTCGACACGGTCTGCGGCACAAAGTTGAACGTCAAGTGCTGCTGCTGGTTTTGCTGCTGCTTGCTCGGTGGTGTTGGCAGGCTAAACGACAGTGAGTCATCCCAGTCCGGAGACGGGAGCAGTCCGGTGTTGGTGAGCGGGCTGGCGAATACCTTGGTTTCATGCGGCGCACCGTCACAATAGGCCGCGCCTGCTCCAAATAGGTCAGCAAGGAGCTCTTCCGACTGCACAGCGGAGCCCATTGAGCCCGTGGAGCTGTATGGCGAATCGGCGAATATCGTTGCGTTCGGCTCCATATGTAGACAAGTCAGCAGATCCGTTGCGTAGTTCATTTTGGACAAGAAATTTTACATACGGTACTGGATAGTTAAAATATAATGGCTGTGGCAATCTGGTCGAGCCGTCAGCAAGAATACGCCTTACACAAGTTACAGGGTCAGTCGGTTAATACTGTTAGCAGGATTGGAAGCGAGAGCTGAAAAGTTGGAACAGTTACTAGGTCAGAGAAATGCAATGCCAAAATTAAAAATTGATGTGGACTGGATCGCTGGCCGGCAGCTTCTACTGGAGACTAACTACGACACACGCATTTTTATTCTGCTTCGACTCGAACAAACCAGCCGCCAGCGCGACAAGACAGCGGCAGGATGACAACTACGACAGTGGTCATGCTGTAATCGCTCTATTTAGGACATGACTCAAAATTCGCAGGCCAATCAGAGACGAAGATGACATGTGACATCATCATGGATCCAGTCCCGAAAACTCAAACAGGCAGTTGACTCAGCCGAACCGGGCACCTGTCCCGTACAACATCGCTACATGGTACAAGGGCACTGCATGGAAAGCCGGGTTTGTGACCTGTGTGAGTACGAGTGCACGAGTTGTAGATCTTCAGTAGGTGCTGTGTGTGTGTGTCACTTGTGTGCGTGTCCGTTTTGAGGTGCTGCCTTTTGACCCGTGCCAGGCCAAGGATTGGCAGAAAGCTAAAGTAAAAATATTAAAAGGCAAAGGCAAGGCAATAAGTCTCCACTACTGTAGACGAGTCGTGCGCCATTCTTGCACATCAGAGGGTACTGGTGCCACGAGCATGAGATGCACGATGCTCAGATGAGATACACGCTCGAACTGTCCAACAGAACAGGTAGCTACGTGGAGATCTATTGATTGTACATGTACATACTACAACAAAGAATCGACCATAGAACGGACTCTTCCACCACACTCCATAGAACGGACTCTTGGTATACCAGGTATACGTACAACAATATGCACACGATGATAGGATTCGGTGACCATGGCACACCAAAATAAGTAATACCAGCATGCACATACAATGTATTCGTAGTTTCGTACTAGTAATGGGTGGATATTATTATGTCCTGTTGTAAAATGTGCACCGTTTATGTTGCCACGAAGTGCTGCACTTGCGGGTGCCAACTGTTTTCTTTTCTATCCCAGCCTCCACGAACCCCTATAACTAGCACCAAGAGTATAGATTTGAAGTTCCCCATACTGGAGCCAACTTTCCACTTTCCGGAGGTAGGGGTTATGTACTCTTGCTAGCACAAAGCTACACACGGCAGCCGGGGAGCAGCGGGACGCTCCTACAAGATCCTGGTACATGGTGGTGTCGAATATGAATGCCGGAAACGGGAACGCAACCGGGAATGCAACCGTACTACCGTACGGATCAAACCAATTGTGTTCAACTTTTCATCGTTTTCGAACCGTATGCGGGGACGCAAGCGTACAAAATGGCTACATTTCGAGTGGCGATGGTGTCATGCATCGAGGCACAACGGCAAATTTGCCAATTTGAGCATTATTTAGATAATAATTATTATAGTATGCTAAACTTACCAAATGACTCGCACGACCGCGTTGAATTTTAGCAAACATTGCAACAACTCTTTGTCGCGCCGTACGAATCGTACAAGGATTTACAACTCGCACCATGCCTTCTTCCCAGCTTTCCAGGTCGACTCCGTACTCGACTACTCGTACCATCAGCTTTTAATTAACTCGTACCATCAGCTATACGTCGAATGTGAACGACAATTTTGTAGGCCTTTGCTAGTTTTGGCTTATAACTTCCCGTACTGTCAGATCGATACAACTGACTGTGAACTGAGCCTACCATATATGTATTTATGTAGTTTCAGCAATATTGATGTACGCATGTATGGCTTTGCATTGTCTCTCCATTAGCTTATTTGGATGTCTGAACATCAGGTTATGACCCAGCGAAGTCGGAGAAGGACGTGAAGTCTTGAAGAAACATATTCCCATCCAGCGAGTCGTCAAACATGACTCCCTGTTCCCATCCATTCTTGTAACGTTGTAAGAATGTTAGTATTGTTATGAGTTTTTGTCTTGACTCTCTCGAGTCTCGGTGTGCTGAGGAACCACTTTTCATCCCAATGTCTTGTGTTTGCAGGGAACGATGAACCCACACGGACCAAACCTGCACACACTCGATACCCGAATCTTCCTATCGTAGTCGGTATGCTTGTCACTTAATTAAAAGTTTACCGAAGTCTACGGTCAGGTACAAAATTCAATGTGATGCAAAGTATCTCTAAAAGTAAGACTAAAACACCTTCGCCACCACAGTCTTTCACTTGCCCTTCGGTATCAGAGCTCTCATTGTCCATCTCGGACCAGACTCCACCTACCCCTTCCTCGTTATCTAATATTGCCTGCTTTTAAGTCCCCTCGTGCTTCTTAGCACCTTCATTCACTTCCTTGTTATTGAGCACTGCTCAATAACAAACAAGGGGGTGTGAATAGGCACCGGCAGATTCTGCTCGAAAAGGTGGCAGATTCTGCTCGAAAAGCAGAGAAATTGGCTGAACCATACAAACCTTATGACGGGCAATTCCTCGAATTCTGCTCCATTTCTTTATCCACATGCCAAACATGCATGAAACTTACCAGAAAAGTACCGAATTCTGCCAATTTGTCTGCCGGCATTACCCGCCGGTGCCTATTGATCACCTGTGCTCGTTTGGTCACTGCGAATTAAAATAAAATCAACAGCAACAAACAACAACACTGCAGTTGCACTAAATGGTGATGAAGGTGTTAACGAGATGATTGACTGTCAGCAGTGGAGCCTCCGAGAATTGAAGAAAGTGATGGAAACTGTGTGTTACTTCAGAATGTCCCCCTTGATTTAGGCTTCGGCCTTTGGGGAATCCCTCAAATAATAATAATAATAATAATAATAATAATAATCAGAAAGTGCAACAACTAGGCACAAAACTGACAGAGTACTGAGACATTCGACGTCCTGACACCTAGCTTCAACACATCTCCGTAGCGCTAACCAATTCGTTTTCGCAAAGCTTCCCCTTCTTTACCAATCTTTGATATTTATGACCCACCCAATTCCAATTACCAAGTTGGGTGGTGTGCTGCTTTGCTGCTTCGAATTGTAGTTAGACCGCTTTGTCAAAATAATATCCTACTGGTCTCGTCATAGTCCAGTTACAATCGACATTCTCTGTTCCGTTGGGACTGTAGCTTGTGCTCATTTTCGTTGCGCTTGCCTTCCCCTCTTTGGTCTTTCCATAACCTTGAACCTTCCAAGTTGGAAGGCTGTCGGTTAGCGCCTTGCAACTGGAGTTGACTCATTGGCCGATTTCGGCTTGCCTGGCGCCTGTCATAATGACAAGTAATAATTAGTTATGTTCTGTAGACCTACATTGTGCATGTGCATGACATTGTACATGTAGGCTGGCTGTACAATGTACTGTCTTTGGCGATGTGCCTGAGTGATCCACATTGATTATGTGATTGTGCACAAGACCATACTCCGTGTATGTTTATCGCATTCATTTTAGAGGCGCCATCCTGTGATAGCTGCGGAGGCATACCATGTACCAAGGCTCCGAGCCCAACGGGTGCCAGCACAGCCACAGTAGAACCCGAAATGGCGTTCAGGGCTCGTTGACACATACGCGGTGACTGCAATTGTTGGCCTGTCAGTGGCAAATACAGCACCGCTTGGCATGTGGTGACTTGTTCAGACGGAGCACTACATGTATACACTGCATACGTCTTTACAACGCACTCGGAATCCGGGCTGCAATGAAGTACAATCATGTACAGCTAGAGTAGCTGCATAGAGGCGAAAGCCAGTTCCGATTGACAATCTTCAGTGTGTTTGTTTTCTCCACAATGCCACACACAGCCAGTCAGCCACCATTCTTATCTCGCTTAGCCATCAGAAGGCTGAGAAGAGTAAGGAACGAATGCAGCACTGGCAGTGGCAGGCAGCTGACAATCGTCAATAGAGTCATTGTATGAGATTCGGGATTCGAGGAAAGCGACGACAAACTCATGATGTCATCTTGATGGTGGAGTTTCCAATCTTCTACTACTGTACCCCAAGACTCCAAGAACATACAATAGTAGGAGATTGGCAGTGTTAAATACTCCACGATCAAGATGACATCACGAGTTTGTCGTCGCTTTCCTCGAATCCCGAATCTCATGCAATGATGCTATTGTAGATTGTCAGCTGCCTGCTGTATTTGTTCCTCAATACTCTTCCCAGTCTTCTGATGATAAGCGAGATAAGATAGTGACTGACTGGCTGGTGGGCTGTGTGTGGCACTGTGGAGAAAACAAACACGCCTCAAAATGTAAAGATTGTCAAGCGGTACTGGCTCTCGCCTCTACTCTAGCATTTTAAGGTCACGTCATATCATGGGGGCATCACCTTTATTTTCTATGTGGCAAGCTAGCAATCTAAACTAATACTTTCTGAGTGCCCATACATTGTACAATGATTGTAGGACCTCAACCCTCACTGACCCCGCAAGCTCAGCTGTAATACATCATACATCTCTGCTCGTTCTTCTGTCTATGTACATCCCGGTAGAGTGACGCTAGTCGCTACCGTGCGTGCACTTGAACCAATGCCAGGGTGCCCATGATCAGATAGTGTCATTGCCAACAACATGTAATGCCATTATTGTTGAGAATGACAGTTGGCGAGGCAGCTCCGAAAATGGTCACGATGCTCCTCTCCGACGTTCTCGCCTTCCCATTGGCTAGCGCTGTCCTTTCTGTCTTCTCACTAGACCTCCTACGTGTATTTGACGGTGGAGCAGCTCACGAGATGTCCGATCCACAGCACTCCAGTGACTCCACCCTCAATCCTCATGCATACTGCACTAGCACTGGCAAGCGCAAGGCTCCATGGACGTGGCCGTCAAAGCCTGCACGTCTGATTGCAGTGTAGCCTGACTGTTACTATTACGAGATAATTATCATGATTATGGTCTCGAGTCCATGGTAAGGCCAAGGGCAAGGGCAAGGGCCTCCAAAGTCCAATGCAACCCACTCCACTACGGCCAGCCCCAAGCAGTAGCGGCCTGCCATGGATCATAATGGGCCACACTGGACGGCGCATGGTAAACAGGGAATGACTCATGCAGCCATGATCTAATCAGTTGTCAACGTCCGCAGTCGACTAGTCATCCAATGGCCGCAAATATGCCACGCTGGCATGTTTTAGTTGTGCCCCGATCGTACCGATCGTGCACGCGGCTCCGTGAGCTACATGTA